CCCGACGTTTCGGATGCTTTGCAGCAGCCGTAGTCTCCCCGTGACCACGGCTGCGTTTTATTTAAATTGTTTTATTTAAACCAAACGTAAGACAATTTCTAGTGACTTGTATCCATTCGATTTTAAGTGCCACCATAACTCATCGACACCGCATTGAAGTCCGTTGGACTTAGTCGAAGGTAAATGGCGCGAGAGGTGCATGTATCAATAAGTTGAAAAAAATCGACGATGAGGTGTAGGTCTCGGTAGCTCAATTGGTGGAGCACGGAACGCTGACGATGCCGGTTCAAGTCCTGCCCGGGTCGAAATTTTTTTCAATCTATTTTCGATTTTTAAATGATAAGAAACATGTTGGACCCGTTGGATATCAAACCCACGACCCGTTGATTCTTAGCCATACGTTGCTACCATTACACTAACGGGCCCGTCAAATTCTTTCGCAACATAAACAGTTCTCTTGTTGTAAGAAAGTTATATACAATAATAACAATTAATAAGCCTTTTTTCTTTTCTCCTGTACTTCGGGTTACCTGGAAGAGGTCGCTGATTAGCGATAAGACCGCCTTTTATTCATATAGAGTTTTTGTGGTATGTATTGTGAATAATAAAGATGTAATAAACAAATAAATAAATAAAATATAGCTTTATAATGAGTTTGACATCGCGTAGTGCGTGTGATGGCGCCTTATTGAATCAGGCGTCGAAATGTAAACACTTCAATCTCAATTTGTCCCGAATAGTGCTGAAATTCTGTTACACCTCGGAATGAGCTTACGTTGCTTTGTCAACACACATTAGTGGGAGATTTTGTCCTCACCACATGTCAAAGTGTGACAAAGATTGTTATCTTTAACATTTGCTGTATTATGTTTGTCTGCCAACATAAACTTTGTTATGTCTATATCCCCTTGTTAACTTTCGCAGGTATCAAGAAACCGAGGAGTTCTGATACATATGATGAAAGGTAAAAAGTCCCATAACATAAGTTAGCGGCCTTTTAGGAGGTATTCCGTTCTCCTTCATTTTTGTCCCATGATACGTTAATTGCAAACAATAAGCCGGAAAACATCTGTTTCATTTTCCACAATATGAAGGAAAACGAAAAGTTTCTATTTAAACTAATATTTTTATAAAGTATGTAGTTTACGAAAAGTACAACTTTAAATAAAACACTTTAACGGTTAAAACGGGAAATATATTTGTAAATTTATTTTTATTAAATTTAATTACGGCCCGACGTCCCCAATGGCTGTTACATATACTTTGTGATTTATCGTATATTATTCGTGATAAGTATATTTCGCGTTGTTACCGTTAAAAATGTTTTATTTAAATAATCTTTTTGTTCTCTTACTAATAAAAATAATTATATTAGGATTTTTTATAGGAAGGTTAAGAGGGTAGGAGTAGAAATTATTTTAGTTGACTCAGTTTTCTCATTAATTATAGGTATTCAAAAGCACCTTTCTAGAATGACTCGCGTCTCCTTGTAAATATGTTAATAAGAACGCTATTAAGGGTAGGTAACGCAAGTTAATACATTTCAGGGAATATGTAAATTAAGACTTTATCCCGCAAACATTGGGTGAATTAATGTATTATACGTCTTGGCAGCGCCCCGGGGGAGTTACAACTTAAATTGTAACAATATCGAAACGCGTGTAGGTCTCGCTAATAAGATCGCATTTAAATTACACGTTATACCTCTGTACTGACTTTGAATAATGAATATGTTAACAGTGGCCTTTGTTTCTAGAATTCAGTATGTAATATTGGGTAGTTATAAAAAACTTTTACCGAGACCAACATCTTAGCCGAAAATCGCATTTGCCGTGCCCATTTCATAAATCAATTATAATTAATATAGTAAGTTAATAGTCTTGTGCCCAGGCCGATCGAGATTATATTTTCGAGGTTTGAACCCACGTCTTCTCACACTAGGCAACTTTCGTTCATCCATTAAGACAGTGTAATGGTGGCACTTTTTTCTCTTTATGTATTCTCTTGTCATACATATTGACTTGTGCTGTATGAAGTTTGATTTTCATTTCCTTTTTAGTATTTATTTTAAAAAAAACAAGGACCTACAATAGACAAGACGTTTAGACCAAAATATGTAAAGGTTTCTCATTTATACAAAAAACCATGCATAACTAAGTTATTTATTTGTACTTCACAATATTATTGAGTATTAGAAAATAGTGCTCTGTAATTTTACAAAAATACGTGACCATCATAATTACATTTTCATTCCCTTACGCAGTTGTATTTTACATTTTATAACGGTTTAAAACGCGAACGGAGTTATGCATTTGTAACATGATCTGACATTTTGGATATATCGTAGTCGTGGTCACGAGGTCACGAGAAAAATAATTCGTGTTTTAAATCGTTATAAAGGGTTTAATTTTATGCGTAATCTAAACAAACATACAACTGTATTTTTAACAATCCTTAAACTATTTTGTAATTGTAACTTGTAGGAAGCGCTTATAAAAATGTAAAATTAATTAACAATTTGAAAACAATATTAACGATCGATTATCTGTTTAATAACGATTGTATTAAAAGCTCAACGTGTGTAATATTACAAAAAATACTATTCGAATTTCTTGTGAAAATATAATTTTTCTTTCTAAGAAAAATATTTCGCTCTTCTTATATCAAAGATTTGTTAACAAAGGCATATATTCGCAGCGCCAACATTTTTTTTAGGGAACTGATGACAAATCTATGGATGTATATAGCTGCTTCTCCAAAAATAACACCGATTCTATTAATAAGTAGTTAAATATAAAATAATGTTATGGCACATTAAAATAAAATATACAAAACATTAGACTTATAGTAAGTATATCCACTAAGCGTATAAACCATATTAATATAACGACAATCGTTAAGTTTTCGAGATTAACATTTTTTAAATTCAAACAAAAGACTATCGCAGGTTTTCTAATCGTGACGTCACACACTCTTATACAATATTGAGGCTTACAAAGCTATTAGAGTTAAACAAATAAGCATGTAAAGAAATAATTGTTTACTCAGTATCAATTCTTAGAAGAATCGGGAGAAAAATATCAAGGACTACACGTTTTTAAATTCTTTGTGACGTCACGATAAGTTTAACAAAAAGTCGAAAGCTTAGAAAAAGTACACTCTGTTTAGTATTATTATGTTGATTATTATAGCAGTACCGCTTAGCGGAGGTAAGTTTAACCACTTAAGCTAGGATTACAATCCTTAAAATTATTTGACAATCTAATTATAATATGTCGACAACATTCATAAACTCTTCATTATTAATATTTTGAGAAAATTGTGAATTTCAACGAGTTTTAAGTGCAGCGGAATAGCTAGCGATCAAATTATAAATACATATGACATCCGGGGTGAATAATTTTCTATGTCTATATCTTCTTTCTTGTATCTTAAACACTTTTAGGTAACCGTAATTTTACTTCGAACGTTTAATTAACCTACATTTTGTAAATAATTTTGCAATAGAATTTGATCGCACAAGTCAAGCCGCATAAAAATCTCAATAAATCGTTATAAAATACAATCTTATTCTAAGCACGTAAAGGCACCTACAGCATCACAATTTAGCACCATGTTATACAGCGTGTGTGAAATAATTCTATAAGTTATCGCGAAAAAACAAAACGGTACATCGCGCGAAAATTAGACATAGTCTAATTTACTTAACGTTATTTATTAGTGGGTGTAGCTAATAATAAAGAGATATATTTTTCTTTACTTTTGACATATACAAATAATTTAATAGACGTTTTGTCTTTTTCTATTTGATAACTACTGACTGTGAAGGAAAGTATCGTTTTATAACAATATCAGTAAAAAATACCTAGTCTCACTGTCATATCGGTGTTGTCTAGAATTATGAGCAGAATTTTACATTTGAATCGCGATATAACTAACATCATCTTTTTCATTGTTCCAGTATTACCAATTTCGTAAAATTTGACATCCTTAAATTTGTAAGGTTGAAACATAATATTTCATAGATGAAGCTTTACTATTGATAATTTTATTGCACATGATGGCATTATATAACTTGAAATCGATGTTAGCAACAGCACGTTGTGTATACCGGGTTTAAGCCCTGGCCATGTCGTAAAGTATGATAATTCTCAATCTAAAACCGCTTTTTAATTTTAATTGCTTTAAGGCGACAAATATGGTTTTAATATCACAATACAGTTTCCTAGTGCTTTTGTTTTTTTTTTTTAATTCACAAATATAAACAGACAAACCAATCTCACGAATTTTTACATTATTGTCAGAAAAGTGAAAAGCGTGCAAAATATTAATGCCTACTTACAACTAAATGAGATTATGGGCGACACACTCTAAAGCATATTGCTATGTTAAAATCAACTCTATTACTATGCGCTTAAGTTCCAATGCCTAACAAACTTAACAATATTGCTAGTTATTATTGCATAACTGATTTTTATCAATCTGAGATATTCAATTGTTCATACAAACTCTTAGACGTATATTTGTGTACGCTTCAGTTAAATGTTTATTTTTATTTTAAGATAGATGAGGACAGACATGGCATGGAGTCACTTGATGGTAGGTGATATACCCCAGCCTATAGCATCCAAACAAGATGCGCTGTCGACCTATTTTGGCTTTGGATATTCGGAAATCCACAGACTGAAACCGAAACGCGATTAAGCTTCACGGCTCTTTCATCTGTTGACGGTAGTTCATCATCCGGACGGAATTTCTATATTCCTACCACCCATATATAATTAGCCATACTTTGCTAGCGTTGGACCAACGGGCCTGACAAATCCTTGTTATTCAGTTTTTAGGTAATAGGAATTTGTATGGTGTAAGTTTAGTCTTATTAACGACTAATCTCGTCATTGATTTTATGGTCGTTTTCAGAATACAACCATTTCAGATCGACTTTTGAGGGTAGATAGATTTTTAGGAAATCATTGTAGAGTGCACCACCCGCGCCATAGTCAAATGTCTCCGCCCGTGTAATACTCAGCTTCTCCGTTTACCTGATCTCTTATCACTATGGTGGGGTTATTCGAACAAGAGTTCGACAGTGTTCGGGCTGTCTTGCATTTGTTGCACTCGACAACGACTATCGAGTTCGTGTCCATATCGGTCTCGGTGCTGCTGGTCCGGCGCAGGACATTGTTGTTCGTCTGCAAACGGTGCTCGAGTATTGCCCGCCAGACGCGTAACTCGATCCCACCTCTGAAAAAAGGTTAGTTTCTAATGTAAAAGAAATGGCTCTTTTTTATTTTTGTTAAATTTAAAGGACGGACAGAGCACGGGGTCGACTTGATGTAAGAAATAGCCCCAGCCTATTATAGACTAGATGCGCTCGCTGGCTTTGGATATTCGGAAATCTAGACTAAAACCTAAACGAGATTAGAACATATTATATATATTCATATCTAATAACATTATTTATTTTTAAAATTTTTTAAATTAAGCTTTTAATATTTTTAAACATTCCGAAAAATAGAGATAACGTATATTTAACAACATAATCTTGGTTTTTAAACTTGGTTATAAGAAGTTAAGGTAAGAAACCCAAATATGTATACCAAAATAGCCGCCAAACCTTTATTAATTGATAACTCTGAAAAAAATTAATACACTTTTAAATTCCTAGTGAAATCTCGTTTCGCCGCTGGGGCTTGGGGCAAACACATTTTCTGGTCGATTTTGTTTACAAGTAGTTGAACAGACTTTTGTTCCTAGCCTGACTCAATGCTAGGCAACACGTCTAACCATATAGCTACATATTTTTTATATTATTTATTGTAAAAAATATAACGACATCCCACCACTTTCATGATATTCTTTTCGCTATACAACTAAGATCACAATTTAACCTCAGATTTAGCTTTGCGATGTCCTCTCTCTGCGCGTGCTGTAGTACGTCAGTCAGGGAGAAGCCCTGAAGAGCGAGGGCTCTGCACGCCTCATCAGGCACACCTCGTGACGTCATCCACTCCTTTATCATCTCGTATTGTTCGACGTCCATTTCTTCGTCTTCATGTACACTTTGCATTCTGTAAATGTAGTTTTACTTTGTTGTATGTTCTATATTGTATATTTATAAACATGATGTGAAATTAAATTAGATATTCCGTTAAAGACACTATTTTTTTTAATTGTACGAGCAATTCAATTGCTCAAGAGCTGTTCCATCTTAATTTGTATATGTGCAAAATGTTTAAGTTTTTATCGTTATTAAAATGTATAATCTTATGATAATTAATGAGATCTTTAAATTTGTCCTGTTATGGTACAAGTATAATATATTTACCGAGGCCTCTTCTCAACGAATTCCCGAATGATTTGCGTCTGCGCCTTTTGTTCTTCGAGCATACAGCGAAGTAACGCCTGGTACTGCTGGTAGCTCTCTAGCAACTCTTGTTGTAATCTAAAATTGGATAGACATAGTGATAAAATAGCATTGTAAAGAGTCACATTTATGTCAACACTCCAGAATAATCTTTTATCTCAAACGTATCATATTCTTGAAAATATTATCTCATTCCTAATTTTAATCTTACACACCATTTTGTTTTTTTTTTTATAATTTCTATTTAAAAAATTTTTGTTTTTCTATTTTTTAAATAAATAAATATTTTGCCGGTTTTTGAGCTCAGGCATATTTTTAAACAGTATTTTAAATTTAGAACCGGTGTTGTATGTAAATTGTAACTAACGTTAAATGGCTATACTTTATTATTTATTTACATAAATTATATATGTACATCGCGTTAACTAAAGACAACACTAAGTTTTTAATTTGTTTGCATTAGGTCAAATCTGTTTAGAATGGATTTTTTTTACATAAGTAAATCGACAGCTATAATACAAAAGAATTTTAGCTTAACATTGAAATGTCAACTGACTTCTGATTCTCATGTCTTAGTTGGTGTATTTGATGTATCTGATGGTCGCGAGTAGAAGTGGCAGTGGAGAGGGCCGATGGAGTAGCTCCCTCGTTGCTGCCCCTCTCTCGTCTGCCTTCTTGGCCGGCCAGGTTAGCACCCAGCTCTGTGAATAATTGACACTTTTTTGTAACGTTAATTTTACAATATTATTTTTTATAGGTATCCGAATAAAGAAAGACAAGGTATCGTCTCGGTCGCGCTTAACAACTTGAAGTGGTTCATTAATAAAAAACAGTTATTTTAATTAAGAAACAAATATAAAAAAGATAGAATGTTGAGGATTATCTAAAATAAACGGAATCCCTTGTCTGAAAATATAAAGTTTGTTTAACATGGTCTTAAAACTTTAGTATCATTTACAGTAACCTAATAATAATTTTTCCTGAAAACATAATGAAACGACAATAATTGTTTATTATTATTATCTCCCCAATAATATCCTTTTTATAACAATTGCCTCAAGTCGTTAACCCTATCCGTTGTGTTTCTGTATACACGCTGCAGATAGAAAGTACATAACATGCTCTAAGCGCAGCAAAATTTAATTTATGAATTATCAATGTTATTGATTACATACATATAGATGTATTATGTTAAATTACTAAAATACATACCCGGCGACAAAACAGTGATAGCCGCTTGTACAGCGTTCCTCACGAGATTGTCCAAAGCGAACATCCAATGTGGCTTTATGCTATGCATCCTCAGGACGACGTTGACAGCTTCTTGGAACATGTATATGGCTGAGTGAAGCTCGTTTATCGCATTCGAGTCGAAATCCAGGTCCTCCTTTAACGTGGTTATTGCCTGTTCGATGACAGATCTGTTCTGGTCAGTTATGTACTCTTTGAGGGCGCATCTCAGCGTTTCTAAGTGGTTCTGAAGGAAAAATAGTTTATATGTTTGAAAACTTTGATAATTTTCACATGTTATTGCACAGGATGGCATTATATAAATTAAAAAATCTAAATTTTAAGTTAAAAAAATTCGTCGAAGCCGTGTAGGAGACGGTAGCTTAATTGGTTAGAACAACGGCACAAAGCGCTTTAGATGCTGGTTTTTGTCCGTGTCGTAAAAAATTTTCAATCTAAAAATTCGGTTATTTATTTGTTATATGTTATCGTTTTACTTTACTTGATTTATTTAATAATGGTTTAAAATTTAAAGTACAAAAACGTTAGTTTAACGATTAGGTGTTTATTCCCAATTAAACACTCCTGTGATTACATTTGTTGATAATTTAGAAAGAGTATAAACAAAAGTCTCAGTATCTAATTTCAACATTTACTGTCGTATAAAAAATAACTAAGCTAATATCAAAAATTAAACGTTTAATCTTATTTACATACCATTGTCAAAACGGTAGTTCCAAAATCCTGTTGTATGCTGAGCATCCATTTTGAGCAGATCTTCTCGCTGTCCTGCTCTAACACACGCGACAGAGTTAGACGTCGTTGCGAATCTTTCTTGAGTAAATAAAATCCGTCGTGCTCTATATCAATAGATGACCTCGGCACGTTTGTCATGTCAACCTGAAATCAAAATTACCTTATTCTAATTTTACTGTTATTAGGGGCTCTCTAACTGATCGAATCAAAATGTAAGAATTATATTGTAACTCAGAAGAGATCATAAAAAAAAACAACTTGCAACCCGAATCTACATACATTATCAATTGAACAGCCGTATGTGTTGAAGGTCTATATCAAGGAGACTTGATAACATTGATGGTAAACAGTACCTCAGGAGATAAAAGCCCGCCAGACGAGCTACGTCTATTCAGTATAGTATCGCCGCTGTCCATTTCTTCTGTAGACGGAGTGTTTGGCATCGTGCTGCAATAGAAAACATTTACTATCCATTAAAAACTGTAATTACTTACGTATGTATAGGCAAATATGGGATAATAATTCGGATTTAAATTTTATTATCACAATATTTATTTTATTATCCATCAGTAGATAAAGACTTACAGTGTCAATAAATAAAAAAGACAATAATCATCATATAGTACATAACTAAATGCATGCAGATACGTATTACCGTTACCAATACTAGAGGGGTGCGAAAAATTTACTAGAATCTCAAAGAAATAAAAGCGAAGCAAATTATAAGATGATAGCGTTTTATTTTTTTTATTTAGAGCTGTTAGCTAGGCTTGCTTAACTATGAAAAATGTTTTTATAGACCTGCCAAAGAAAAGTCAAATTTAAAGATTAACGCGGAGCTTCTACAACATCCCTACTGCCTTAATACTCCTTAGTGGCTCAACCACCCTCAGCCACACACACTTAACTTGTAACAGCTTTCCTTATTTTTATCCCCATTACGTCGGTTACAATATTTTGTATTCAGTATTACGTAACTAAACCAGTTTACGAATTAACATTGTAGTATTTAAAATTTAAGTATTGGATATTACATGTATTACGTAAAATAAATACTTAATGAGATCTTATATTTATAGATGTTAATCATGCTATACAGTAATATAATCACGATTTTAAGTTCTACGTTAAGACCATTTGTAAATTTGCCTAATTATAATTTACACAAACCTAAATTTGGATACTATATTCCTAGTTATTAAATGAACAAATTTGACTTCTACTTCACACTTTAGCTAGGTCGCGCATAGTGAATGAATTGTAGTTTTTTTTCCACTTTAACGGGTTAAAACGCGTTTTAAACCGTTAAAGTGTTTCATTTAAATGTGTATTACTCGAGTAAGTTACAGACAGTATATAACATAGACTATTGAGAAGTAAACGCCGAGTTGTATGTGATTTGGATTCCTATACCAGTGCTAAGCAATTATAAATTTGTGGTACAAACAACGGTTTACCTGCTATTAGATAAGTCCGGCGGGTATATCAATATCGGAGACAGCATGGATGAGGCCGTCCTAGTGATCGTTGGGTTAGACCGGACCGTTTTAACCCTTTTGAGGGAAACAAACAACACTTAGTGGGCACACGGGTACGTGACGGGATAAATGTTAGCCAGATTTTAAATGTAATGTTGGCAGCAGTGAATTAAGTTAATAAAAAATATTGTTATGGACAAAACGAACAGAGGATCTATCTCTCTCGTAGCGGGGTCTAGAAAATATTTCTTTAATAATTATTCAAATTACTAATGATCAATCTTATTTTAAAATTTAAAACTTTTTGAACCTTGAAATGGCCGACGAAAAATGATTTTTATGGTTTATGGAAATGTAATAAAAACCAAATTAAAAAACACTCCCATGAGGATATGTGTGAGGTGAACCTTATCACGCGATGATTGCCAATCACTAGTTGAACTTAAAACCGTCGTTGCCCATGCACATACTTATATTTACTAAACATAAAGAGCGATTTATTTAATAAAAAGGTTTAATTTTTTAAACCTCCTTAAAGAAGGTGGAGGTAAACCGTTTATGTTGGTATTTTTAATCTAATAATTGTTATACCCGTATAAAACAGTTAATTTAGAGTTAAGTATAGTTTGTAGTTTACACGAGTAGTTAACTTAAAAACGGTTTAAAACGCGAAATGTGTTAGTTAACTTCATTGAGAATTTAATGTAACCACTACAAGTTTTATTTAAACATTATTTAGAGTGTTCATAGAAATCGCTCTTTATTATTTAATATTCGCTATCATGCCCAATAACTGACGTTATTTGACTAATACCTCCAACATAATGTTACTATTTTAAATAAAGATTGTTTCATTAAACTTTTAAATATTACAATACGTTTGAATGTTGAAAGTATTAGTTATTGTAATTAGGTATTTCCTATTAGAACTACTATAGCAAACCGAACGAATAAATTGATACTTACTCTATCTCAGGAGAGCTAGGCAAGTTGCCTTGTAAACTTGGCTCCGATATTTTCTTCTGAGCCATGGCCGGGCGCGCCTTGTCCGCTGGCACAGAAATGCTTCGGCTATAGTCGTTATTGCCTAGACGACTGCTGGGTTTTTTCTTTCTGTAATCAATATTGACTACTAAAAGAATATGTACAAAGAAATATATGCCGATGTCAGTTTGATAGATTTAAGTATATCTGGAGGCATATGTTACAGTCTAAAAGTTGAGTGACAGTCTATAAGCCTGTAGAGTAGAACAAGCCCAAAAATATATACTTTTTACGGTTACTTTTCAGTTTTTTTTTTAGTATTTTTATTTTATGTTCATAATGAGCCTTTAAAAAAAACTATTTCATTTCATAGTCAGTAGCTTGGTTTTTGTCAGTCTTTAAGGTTTACGCGATTAGAACAAGCCGAAAATCTATTAGTTACTTTATCATTTTTTTAAATTTCAATATTTTAGTTTGGTATTCGTAATTAGCCTTTTTAAAAGCACCGTATTTCATTCCATAGTCAGTAGCTCGGTTTTAATTTACTAAATTATTAAATAATGTAATTTTGTAGATCATTACGAAAATATATTTATCTCCTTATTTTAAAAGTTAATCAATACGACAAACTGCGTCTATATAATGAATATGGATGTATAACATATTCTTACTCGCAAAGGAAGGGATCTTCTAGCAACTCAGCTGCGGTGGCTCGTTTCTCCGGATCAGGTATAAAGCAGCGTAGAATGAAATTCTTCGCCTTTTGAGATAGCTCACTTGGTATTTCTGGGTGCATTTTATAGTAACCCACCTGAAAAATTATGCATTAAGGTAACTACCTACCTATTATTTAATTTTATTTTATATAAGATTCCCCTTTTTACCTTAAATAAAGCAGCCTGCGGCGATCCCAGTTCCATGAACGGCGGGTTGCCTGTCGCCATTTCGACAACAGTGCACCCCAATGACCAGATATCCGCCTGAAAATCAAATAAATTATAAATTCATAGATTGTAATACATATATCGCTTTTAACGGTCTAAGACGCAAATTATATTTGTTAATTTATTTTTAACAAGGCAGTTTCTCGCAGGTACACTCTTCAGCTTCAGTCGCCTGTGACACCATCAGAACCGCAATATTTCTTGTTTTAAACCGTTGAAATGACTTTCTAAATGTGTACTACAGCTATAAACTATAGATAATAAACTTACTGATTATAATGCATCATGGATACGTAACTAGGTGAAAAGTTACGGATCCATCCTTTCTTTCAAGGGGCGTTCAAAAGTTTTATATATGTATATATTTTTTTTTAACGTACCGGTGCTCCATAACCCCGTTGTCCTTTATCAATGACTTCAGGAGCCATATATTGCAATGTTCCCGCGAAAGTTTCAGTTGAGGGACACAAACCAGCTAAGCGCTTCGATGTCCCGAAGTCGGATATTTTCACTACCCCACTGTACGTGTTCACCAATACGTTGTCGCCTTTTATGTCACGATGTACGATTTTCTGGTCGTGTAGGTATTTTAAACCTGTTAAAGGACATAATAGGATACGTTCTAGTAATGTGATCTCTTTTTTTTTGTGAAATTGGAAAATTGTTTGTTTAAAAAAAAGAAAGAATTATTGTTTATTGCCCCAAAAATAATAAAAAAACACACTTAGAAAGGTAAATTCGTAAAACATAAATTATTAAAGGTATGAACTAATGTAAATTGTAAAACTTAAAGCTAACTATAGATAAAAACTTATTATAATACAATAAAAAATAAATTGACAAGTAGACAATATCGATAAATTACTGAATAAATTGAATAAAGTTAACTGGGACCAGGCAAAGACGTAACTGCGACCAGGAAGTAGTAACCGGATTCTCTACATTAAGTGTGATTATAATGTTTGTAATAAAAGCATGAGGAAATAGTATTCCATACCTTCTAGAATCTGTTTCGTATAGTACGCTATGGTCGCCTCATTTTCTTTGAGCGGACCCCATTTCGATCGAAGCAGAGCTGACAAAGATCCTCCGGGTACCTGCTCCATGAATATCTTGAAGTAATTGTCCTCTGAGATTGAACCCAAGTACTGCAAAGATTAATTTGATATAAAATTTAAATTATATTAACAGAAATGTTTTTTTATTAGAATTTCATTATCAAAGAGTGACGAAAGTGATCCTAAAATGATAGATATAAGTATTGAGTGTGTAGTAAATGTGTAGCTAGATCACCTAGGTCTATCTACCTCTTCTGTGACAAACCTTAATTGATCTTGTAGTACTCACTTGTACGATATTCCTGTGTCTAAGTTGCGAGTGCAGCAATATTTCCTCGTGTAGCGGTTGCACGTCGCCTAGGTTCTTCTCCGGTATTTCCTTGACGGCGATTCGCACTTGGGTATTCAGGTCCCTCGCTGCATATACAACGCCGTACGTCCCTTTACCCAACACCACGCGCTTATTACAATCGTCCAGTTCGTATTCAAACTGAAATTTAATTAGCAAAAAATTGATTGTTTTAATCCTTCCCTTCCCAATGCTGGGACTGGTATTTTACAGTGTAGTAGCGTAGCTAGTGTACGCGGGTACAGTTCTGTTATTCCGTACACGTATTTTTAGTACGATACACAAGAAAAAATCCTATTAAAAACATCTCTTGTCTTCTATTTGCATGTATGTAGAAATCGAGACAATATTTTTACTCGTGAGAAGAAATCTTTAATCTCGGATGCAAAAACTCAGTTTGGATCGTGTCTTTGGATTAAGTAAGTTACTTTTATCATGCGTTTATCTTACCTTCCCCTCCTTCCCCATATCATAAATTTAAAAGTAAAGGCGTTCATAAGTATACAGTAAGTAAAAAAAAAACTACCTTTAACTGATCCTGCATAACACTTGTATCCAAATCTGCTAGTTTCTCATGGTCCGCTGTTAACTCTCCAAGTAAATCGTACAAGCGTTGACGGAATAAATGCGATGGTAGGAATATTTGAAAATCGTCGGAGTTCTCACTCACGTAGAGAAAGAGGCATCTATCGTCCCTTTTGTATAAACTGAAAAAAATACAACAATGTATTTTTACGTTTGTAGTATTATAACCTTGTTTGTGTGTCATTTCGAAAGATGAGTAGGAGTATTTTACTAGCTGCTCCAGCACACCTCATCTGTATAAATTATAGCTCCTCCCAACGACGTCGTCCACGTCCCGTCTTTCTTGCAAGTCCAAAAGATAGGCCACAGAATTTTTTTTTATATCATTTATTGAGGACTTTCGTACATATTTTTGGTTACCCCGAACCGTTTTTGCAGCATATGCAACGAAAACCCTCAATTATGAATAATTTCCCTCGGTCTTTCCACATTTCCTGTTTCTTCGCTTATTAGTCGCAGCGTTATATTTTACAGTGCCTTCCTCGATGCAAGCTCAAACCAGTAGTTCTTGAAATTAGCATGTTCAAACAAACTCAGCTTTATAATTTTTGTAAATATATCTAATTTATAAACAAACATTTGACAGATATATGTATTTCTTTTTTTATGATAGATAGGGGTATGACAGATGGGGGGTTTCACTTTGTGGAGGCTAAAATACCTCAGTCATATAACGATTCGACTGATAGATATTAAGCTCAAATTTTCTTACAAATAGTGAACTGTAGACTTATTATAGGCTGTATTATTTACGTGAAACCTGATAATAACTAGTAAAACTAATAAAACTTTAAACTGTACCTGTAAGTCCTAATCATATCCGAAGTGAAGAGCCACCTATGAACCTGTCTGCAGTCCCCCCGCATATATTTGAGGCACAGATTCAGTATTTCCACCGACTTCTCTTCAGCTCCCATATTCACATTTACGTAGGACGGCATGTATTCCTTTGTTGTTTCCAAGATCACGACCTAGAAAATGAAATATAACGTAAGTGAAGAGAATAGAAACTTTCTTTTATGTCTATCGCACTTATAGCAATATATTATGTATGATAAAGACAAAATACTTTAACATGACTATTTAATAGCGTGTATATGTTGTTTGACAAAAGTAAGACAATAAAAGCGAATAGTATCCAAAAGGAAAAAGGCGTCTAAGCTTTTTTTTTACTTGGAGGAATTGACTCTTTACGACGCCCTCGCCGACCACATCAAGTGGCGTGGGGAGTGGGGGTAGTAAATAAAATTATTTAATTCTATTTAAACGTAAAAATAAAGGCTATTCTTATTTATTAGTTTAATATTCTTAAAAATTACATAATTCATAAAATATAGTTAATTTTTTTGTAATGTTACGTCTACATATTATCCGGAAATAAATTTATGCTAAAAATTTATTTCAATACATAATTGTGTTAAAACTTACGGGAAATCGTATATTTTCAACTTACGGGAAATCGAATAATATTTTCACATGTGCTCTTAGTCGCTTCGACAAAGAATTCCATCCAGAAGGAGAAGACTTGCTGTTCCGGGGAAGTGTCTTCATTCTTTTTTCTGAATCTGAAAAATAATGTTACCAATAAAAAACAAATACTTAAGACGAATACAGTTAATCAAAAAGAATATTGTAACAATAAATCCATTACGTACTTAGACGTAAAGAGAAACACAATTATTTTAAACGTATAATTTAAAAATCGATAATAAATTGAAAAAAAATTTCGACTCGGGCAGGACTTGAACCGGCATCGTCAGCATTCCGTGCTGTTGCTCTGTCAATTGAGCTACCGGCTCGGTGTTTTTTCAATTTATTTTCGATTTTTAAATTACATAGTGCCTTCATGTGCAACAACATGTAAAAAAATAATAAAGTTTTCTTTTAGATGTAGTTAATCACCTAAATAAAATTATGAAATACTTTTAAACTTAAAATTATCAATCTTAAAAATTATAAAGACCTGTCTATAAGTTCAATATTTCCAATAGTGGATTTGAGGTACCAGTTCGGTGGTTTCAACTTGAACATACACTCAGCCGCCTGTATCGCTTTTACGTAATCCTGCGCAAGAACCGATATCTCGAAAAATGTCGCCACGTCCCAATACTCTTTGAGCGAAGACAAACTCCCCTTTTTTCCGATTAAGTGGTTTAATACTCGACCTAGAATAAAAATAAAATATTCACGCATTTTGCCTATATTTAACGGTTTAAAACAGAAAATAAAAGGTTACAATAAGTAAATTTAGGTTACTGCGTCATAAAACGGATAGGAATTGTAACAAGGTTATAAAAATGCGTTTTTAGAGTTCAACAATTATTACCAATATGTTGTAATTCCTGAGAATCTTTGAAGTCATTCCCAGCGATGACTAACAGTGTGGCCAAATTTATTCCCGCGTATTCATTCGGCTGCACTTCAAAACCTTGTCTGTACCTGAAACATAAGACAATAAATTTAATATAATCTGAGACAATATATTATTTAAATAAAAAGAGTAATTCGTTGTAAGTAAAACACTTTTAACAGTTTAAAATGCGAATCGTATTTAAAGCTACTAATTGGTCTTCTTATGACCACGATTACTACAAAGCAATCAAAATTAATATTTTCGAGTTTTCAGCAGTTAAGAGTGATTTATTTTATGTTTATCAATCTTGTTAAATAGAAAAATCATATATTTTAGTTTTTTTTATAAAGTTCCATATTTATTAGGTTTCCCTATAAAACATACCAATGTATTGCATTCTTTAAGCTCTCCATATCTGTGTGTTGAGATTCGACGAATTTGTCCTTGTATATGCGCCCGCACAGGCACAGCATATCGGGAAATCTATTTTCCTTCTTTTCTAACGCTTTCACGCATACTTTCAATGCGTTCTCTCTATCTCCCTCTTTGTTTCTCCTGAAATGAATTTATTAATTGGTAAATAAAAATTATTTTTACAATTTTACGATAAAAAGTGAAATCTCAATTTCCTCCGTGGGGCATGGGGCGAACACATTTAGAGCCCGTTTCACTGATCAGTTGCCTTTACAGGCAAGTTGATCAGATTCCTGTGCTATGCCCGACCGTAACAATATATTGTTGGCACATTATTTAAACCCACGACCTCTCGCGTAACACTACGCTTGGCTATACGTTTAGCCATTAAGCTACATCATACTACAGGAATTTATACGAAAAATGGCCCTAAATATAAGGTAAAAAACAAAAACACAAATCTACAATGTTTTTGTTTGTATCACGAAAAATAAATTTATAATTGATAGCATAATTAAAATAATAAAACAATGACTATAAATTAAAATTACAAGCGTTACATACGTTCTAACTAAAACTAACTATTATATTATCTATTATATTATGTTGTAGTTATAATAGGTTCTTACCTATTCATAGCGAACGCATACATAAACCTAATAATGGGCATATTCACATAATTCTTCCTATTCATAATAGTCTTGAGATCATCAACAATATGTACGATCGCGTCGTAGTCCTGTATCTCGCGATACGATATTAACAGGTTAAGGATCGTATCGCCGGATAGTACGCCGGGATCGTCTAGGCGCCTGCGCATCGCGTGTAAATAGTTGCTTAGCTCCACTCCGCTGTACGTCTCGCGGGCCTTACGTAGATCGGACAGGAATTTCTCTTGTAGATGCGCTCTGAGAACAAAAAGTAGGATTATGAAATATTAAGTATTATCTAAGTCTGTCCCGCTGCGACAACGGCTAGAAAGCATTCTACATGTCAGGCCGTAGTTAACATGAATTATAAAAAGTTAACGTTTTAAACGTACTTTAAGTGTTTTATTTAAAAACGAATAAACTATTTATTCATATTATTTTTTTACAGTGATCCATTTACAACTCTTTTATTACCTGGTAGTTTTGTAATTATGTAATTGTTGAAACTAAACACGATGTCATTCAGAAAATTACAAAAAACATGCTTCTTTAAAGATTGTTTTTGTACTAAAATCTCGTTTATGAATATGTTACTTGTGTCTTATGTACTTTTAAATTAAGGAATGCAGTTCAACAATGTTCGTCCTGAAGCGAGTCATTATTGAAAAAAGCTGTAAAGATTTTACACAAATTACGTCACTTCTGTATCTGTTAATGACAGAACGTCTCATTTACAACTAAAATACGGCACTCTAATTGCATAACAGTTTTACTCATTAAGATAAGAAGTGAAAATTACCTAAAACTTTGTACTTGGTGTAGACAATAAGTGAATAAAATATGTAAATAAATTATTCCTTATTGTCATCGGTTCATACAATATTATCTCATAGAATGCGTTGTGCTTTGTGTGTGGGTTTAACATGAATTAAATATTCAAATACTGAATGAAACACATTATGGATCGTGTTTTCCTTGAACAGGATATCCATTTTGAATCGAAGTCAAATTCAATAAAGTAAAGACATGTAAAAAAACCGTGTTACCTAGAGTACATACATGAGGCATAAGGTCTAGGATTCGACTCTGCGTGTGCACGTCACAATTTAATTTGCTCATAACCCCTCGATGAAACGTTTTACCTTCCAGAAGATCTTTTGTTATTGTATTTACCTGTTATTTATTTTCAAGATTCATACCTATTTCAATGATAAAAAAAAATGTCCACGAAATTATATGTCTATGTTTTAAGAAAAAAAAAGACGTTTTGATGCTTCGAATTTGGTCAAACTTAATGCATTATTAACAATTTATTTGTTAGAGTGGTATCAACATAATAATATCAATAAATATCAGTTAACAATATAGTGAACTTCAAAATCTCGTCCGCAGTATCATAGCATTCATATAAATATATTAAATAAGTGTAATTGCACATTTAATGTTCAAAAAGTAGCTGCATAAAATTATTAATATCGTTTATTAGGATTTTCCAGAATCGTAAGCACCGCTAACAACATTGTCATCTCATTGTTTATTACTCGTTCCACGCAACAATATTAACCGTGAAAATCGTTCAAACGATACCATTGTCAAGGTAAACTTACTTCGTCTGCACTTCGACATCTTGCAATATGTTCTTCAACCGCAGAGTGAGATGCTGTTTGGGATCAGCCGTCTCCTCCCCTTTGAACTTGGTCGCAGCCGGGTTGGTGGTTACGCACGTTCCTGCGTCCGTTAATTTGTAGGAGACGAACAGGAAATTTGGCAGGGATATCTGCAAAAAATATTTGAATGCCTTAAAATTCTTCTGTTTTTAATTTAGGACAGTAGAGAATAGATAACTGTGGGGTAACTTGATGGAAAGTGAAATAACTCGCCTCTATAAGATCTAATTGTGAGAGGATCTATCAAACAATTTTGGCATTGTACTTTCGGTAATCCAGGATAACCAAATGACTGTAACCAAAGCGCGGATTAACAGACCTGGGCTTTCTATCCGCTGGCTGATACATTCAGGTTCTGATAGACAATAGTGATGACATTCTTATCTTCCTACCGCGAATTTATTGTCCCGACCAAAGTTAATAGAGAAATGAAAATGATTTATAAATATGTTCGAGTCGAAACAAAAACGCATTGATCGTTAGCTATGGTATGCCATGCTATTGGTACTATTAGAGTAGTGATCCCGGATTGAAATGGGTTTTAGTACCATTTTTTTACATCCAAAAATACCAGTGAATTATACAATGCTCGAACTAAACCGAAGTGTAAGAACTATAAACTTTATTGTTTTTGCAAACAAAACCGCAAGCGCCTACATCATTGGTGTGTATTAATAGGATGCACGAAAAACAAATAGTTTTCGCTAGCTACGATAATAAAGATATAGAAAAAATATATAATAACTTATGATATTCATAAAGATACATGCTCTACATACTACCCAATCTAGAGATACACACATACTCCGATTTAAGTGAAACACAATACTCAAAGGAAGCAATTTATCAAGATGCCAACGTGCCTTACAATGGTAGCTGTACATAATTGGCCTTGACATCCTGACAATGCCTAGGTAATCAATGTAAATCTAGGAGATTGAGCCACTAGTACTAATTCAATGAACTCAGGTGAGGGTCGGTGCACAATAACTGGTATTTTTATTATAGCAAATTGCTATATGTTATACTATATTTTCTTTTTGTATACAATAATTTTTCAGATTTTGTGTTAAAGATGTTTATTCCAAATAACGTGCCGCACCCCATGACAATGGAAGCCCTAATATCTATAACGAGCTAGCTCTTGGTCTTGTATATAAAGGTTAGGTAGTAAATTTATAAAAACATTACACAACATATATATTCATAATACTAAAAACTTATTTGCCCCTTTTTATCTAAATAATAAATATAGTAAGAATTTACTCAGGATGACACTACCTACTGTCTGTCTAGCCCCAGGGTGTAATGTTTAGGTGTAACAGATGGAGAAAAATATGACCCAAAACTTAAAAAAAAAACTAATTCAATAAAAACTTGCTATTTTTCTTTAAATAAGTAATAAAACATAAATTTTATTTAATGTGATAATGTCATAATTAATCTCATTCTATGCTTAAGATATATTATTAAGGTCTCGAAGTGCACTATTATGTTTCTATGACTTCTATTGAAGAAATTAAGCAGATATGCATACAAGGCAAAAACAACAAGGTTTTAGAAATCAACCTTGTATGTTATCATATACTAAAATGACAGAAGAGCAAACTAACAGATAATTATGGCTTTAAACTTAGAGGACTGCTAATTTTCCTTATTGGTGGACTTAATAAATTGACATTTTTTTTTACAGTATTTTTACATTATCAGACTGTGAGAATTTCTTGTTTTTACTATATGAGCTGAATTTGCCATGCTTATTTTACCATAAAGAGTGTTTTATTCATATTATTAACAGAGGACATGAAAGTAATACATACCTAACTCCACCATATTATGAACATTAAATCCTCATAACTAGACATAAGGTAAAGACATCTAAACCGGTAAATGTTCTATTAATACATATAGTAAACCTTATCTGAATATAAAATAAATTCATGTCTTATTAAGGCATTACTACAGTACTCATCAAAGTCAGAGAATGTCCGAATATGTATGTAAAGCCAAAATAGTTTGACCGAGCATCTTGTTTAGATCTTAAATAGCTGGGGTGTTTTACCTACCTGTACTCCTCTATCATAAAATAAAAAAAATGGTAATGAGTTTGAGTTCAGCCTGCGTCGTGAAATTTAATTAAATGGATAAAGGGGAGTTAATTATTAAAAAAAAAAATACTTACTTTTATGCGTAATGTAGAATCAGGATCAACATCATTGTAAAGGAGTACATTTTCTTTCATATCAAAACTCTCTCTAACTCCAAGATGGTATAACAAGGAGCTCTGTTGCACCTGTACACTAAGATCCACTAGGGCTACATCCGCATTGTAAAATGTATCTAGTACACTTGTCTCTCCAAAATCCAGTTTTTCAAACTGCAGTTGTAAAAGAATAATAAGTGATTATTATATTTGTTAGTTGTATTACATTTGTTTTGTTTTGTTATATACAGAAATGTATATTAGTTATAAATAAGATTAAAAATCAATAAATAAAATACTGAAATTTTTCATTAATAGGAATTTTGATAAGATAGTAAGAATACTTTTTAAAAATAAAGCAATATTGCGTTAATAGATTGGACTATGAATAAATGTTTTTATAAAATTGAGAGTAGTAACAGAGCATACATATTTTTTGGCCTCATTAATTTATGTAGGTGTACATCTATAAACTTTCTTGTACATGTAAAAAAGATTCCCTTGCAGAAACATATTTTAAAACAATGTTTAGCTTTTACCTCATGTTTGGCAGGAAACTATGATGTAGTTTATAACAAATTATTCACCTATATATTATATTTTTATATACTCACGTGAATGTGATGTACATTCGCATTCACGAGATCAGAAGCCAATCTTACTTCCTCCAATGCCCTTTTTCTGTGAGCCAAATTCAATGTTTGGGTCACATCCAAGACACATGCTATGTCCATTTTGGGCCTCTGGCTCTGGTTAGACGATCCGGCCTGCACCGTAGCGTTAGAGCCATCGCTGCACACACTCTCGCAAATACTTCTAACTTCCCCTAAAATAGTTTTCCTTTAGAAAAGCGCAACGAAAATAGTTGGACTTCGACGCACAACGTAAAAAATATTAACGATTCGTACCTGATTCTTCCGCGTTTGACGCGTTGGGATTGCCAAATGTTATCATTTTGTACGCAAAAACAACTTATTTTAATACTTTACCCATAGTAAATGAATTCGGTCATCGAAATAAGAAATAATATTTAAAATGAAAACAAGAACGTAGGTTCGCGACCAGCTTGGGATGTTATTTAATATTAGTGAAGTACCACAGAATAATTCTTCCTTGTAAATATCATTCGAACGATTTACTAAACTTTTAATCGGAATCGATGTTCGTATTGCATTTAACTTAACATTACTTTATGCGTAGGGCACCTTATTGAATATTGCAATTTAAGAATCAACTTTTGTTGGATCCCATTGTCTTAAACTTATTTATATTTACAGTGGATATATCAGCAAAAATAATAATACATCCCCTGTGATTATTATAAAAAAAATAATCGATTTTCAATTGACTTTATTTGTAATCGTAAATCGATTTTCATAACGAGCATCCCTTTTCTGTTTGACATGTACATAATTATTGTTGACAATACTTTTTGCTGACATCTAGTTACAACAATGTAAACTAATTTGCATTGTCGAGCATGTTTGACTGTTCATACAACGTGTCTGTCTCGACACTAGATGGCGTTGCAAGTTCGCAAGTTTCATGGTATCCTCATAATCTTTGCATTCATAAGGAAGATTTGGATTCGAATACTCAGGGAATATGAGTTACTGAAGTACATAAATATAGTAATGGGTAAAATTAAATAATTTGCTTAATAAATCTTTAATACGATTAACATTTACATTATATACTATTTATCTGTTACAGAGTTCACTGCGTTATAATATATGCTTACAATTTTATGAGATTTATTGAGTATAAATAAGTATTTTTTAAAGTCAGGTTTCAGTTTAGCATGTTTTATTCTAGCATATTACAAAGTAAATACTGATACAAATAAAAAGTACTTAAATACATTATCATTGATATTTAAATACTTAGAACTACTTTTGATAGCAGCATTTATTTATATTGAAACTCTAATTATGATATGACTAAAATCTTTGGTATTTTGAATTTTATTACGTACATTAAATAATAATAAACTTTATTTTGAATAAAATACAAACACAATACCATTTGTAAGGCCGCGTGATTTTACTAATTCACTAACCAACCACCAATACAAAAATACACGAATATGGAAACACAGCTTATCGATTGGTACATTGTGGCTATTTTTGTTTACTTTCCGAGAATAATTTTACGCGAAGCGCCGAAGTTTTGGCCCGATTGTGATGCTAATTTGTTGGTACCGGCTTGGAGACCGATGACAGCGTTTCCTGCGCGAAGAACGTCTTCGCTGAACTCGCGGCGGTTCTCTTCAGATGGTTTCGGGCCGAGGTGGGGGCCGCGCCATTCTGTGTGCTTGTATGCCTGTAGAAAATATCATTTTAACACATACTTCGAACTTCGAAGGTACACATAAGTGTACCATCGATGGAGATGTTGTAGTCGCGGATTCGAATCACGACCAAATATAAGGCTTACAGAAATAGTATAATATGATCATCATGTAGTCTGTAGTTAGAACATAATTTTTACTTACCATGTGAAAGTATTAAGATACCTTCTTATTAATAATAATTTTATTTTGTAATCAACATAGAAATTAGATTTTACGAAACTGTTAGTCTGTAATAGTAGAATATATGGGTCGTGAATTCGATTCCCTCCAGTCTTACGTGTTTCCATAAATACATATTTTCTCTGAAACATGTTGGACTTTATAAGTGGTATACTATCAATTTGGAATCGCGAACACACCGTCTGATTAAAAAAGTCGTAAAGGTTATTTGCATTTCGGTTTCAACCTGTAGGTTTCCGATTATCCAAAGCCGGCGTTGATATTACATATCTGGGGTATTCCACCTTCCGTCAAGTGAACTGCGCTCTTCTATCACAAAAAATATATATTAATGTAATATTTTGTTTTATTACCGTCCTGCCAATAGCGAAAATAGTTTGCGTTACTAGTGCGATGTTTTTCTGGTCCCAAAGGTCCGTTGTTTGGAAGAGGTCTACATCTGGTACTCCGTATTTTACACAGGCTTTCTGGAATCTGTAGAACGAGATGTTTTGTTTTAGAATATAAATATTGCATTAATTAATATATTTTTCGGTTAATTAATGATTTCGATACTTATTTATGTATTTTAAATATAAAAATCTTATTATATAATGCTATTATATCCAATGACATGTGAATAATATCAAAGTTTTCAATGATAAATAAAGTAAAATTTCCTATCTTTTTTAACCAAATATTGTATGTAAGACGATGTATGTAGAGAAAAAATAAATGGACCTTAAAGTAGATACATAACCATATTTCATATAATATTTATAGATTTAATTTATTACTTTAGGAAAGGACACAAGGCTAAAAGGCCTCCCTTCTGGAATTGAACGCGGTACAGACATGCAGTCCTAAAATTCACACACACACGTCACATTTTTTCCTCTTAATAATTGGACTTCCCAAAATGACGTATTGATATACCAAGCTGGCATAAATAAGGCACTGGTTTACAATTTTGTGATACTCACTGGCTAATATTGTCCATAAACTTGTAGTCCCCTCCAGACACGTTGACCTTAGATATGATTCCTGGTTGCAGCCTGTTCATTAATTTGCAAAGGATGATGCCGTCACGTAGAGCAAACTCGTAGGGAAGGTCTGATGGGAATCTCTCGCCGATGACTGCTTCTATCCATCTCTGGGCTTCTAATTCCTTCTCGGGCTCTCGCTTGCCAGCGCACTGCAATTTTAAATAAAAATAATCATATATAATACATACATATTAGTTTTCATAAGTACTAAAACACGAATTAATGCCAGCTTACAGCTGTTCTGGACGTAAAACCGAGATCTCATTTATTACACAAGACGTAATAATTTACAGACCTGGATGAATGAAAGTCATTTATATTTGGGTGAGAGAGCTTCTTAGTGGTCATAAATAAATGTCATAAATATAACAGTGTTATACATTGGAAATCGATCTTTAGGAATACTTTTTGTAAGTTTTAAAGTAATGCGTAAATGGGTATTATGCAATTGGTTCGATCGTTTCATAGTAATTATGCTAAGTCAGACTTTCCTATATTTATACAAATAATAGTACTTAATAACTAATTCACCGCCTCCGTGGCTCACTAGTTATACGAATTGCATAAAGCGCGATGTCCGTCTCTGTAGCCAGATTGTTAAGTGTTGCATAGCATTGAGTTAAGCGCGAAAGTTCCTAGGTTCGAATGCCTGGGAAAAATAAATGCATTTATTTATGCAGTGACCAAGATGTGATCTACTCTAAAAGAGCCGATTAGTGGATTGACACAGTAATGTGTTCGCCCAGGTCCCAAGGGGTCCAGTAGGAGTGTAAAATAGATCCACTGGGGAAAAGCAAAAAAGTCTGATCAACAATTTGCATTCAAATAAAATTGAACAGTGAAACGAAAATTGTATGTCCCACACCCCAGATATGGAAAACAGTATTTCACTTAATGGGACGCCATCACATAATAATCTTCTGAGTAAAAGACACTACGTATTTTATTAAACTATGTGCCAAACCAGCATCAAATTTAGAATTAATTATTTACTATATTATATAAAGATTTGTTTTAATTTTGATTTAAAACATAAAAAAAAATATCGAAGCAATTCATCGTTGCTATCATATAATTCTAACATACAAACGCTTTCTCAGTGAATTGAGGGCATCTTATTTTTGTATCCCGATAAATCAAAGGCCGGAAAGAGTGCTGTGGAAACGGATCCGAAAATAAAATTATAAGGAGAGACCGCAGGAGTTTTGGATGATACCTAGTCATAATCTATATATGTAAATGTATTTACAAAATATTTGTCTACTTTACAAACGAATATATTTTCAGATGTTATTGCACACAATGACATTATATAAATCAAAAGTCCAAATAACTTTTTAATCTTAATAGATTTTCAATTTATTTATCTACTTACTTCTTAGTCGGCCTTTGTTCGTGTGTTTCGAACATTACATCTTAATTCTCTATCTACTAGTGTTTCAGTTCAATTACTACTTTTACAGAAGGATAAGTATGTACGTTACTTACTTTACTTATAAAATTAAAATGAGGTTATAGATCTTAGAAGTATTGTATAATACTTAAAATTGGATTTATATAATAACAACAGTTATGTCGAAACAACATATTTGGTATTATAAGACATAAATCTATGAAAACTATTGAACTAACTCAGTTAACAAACACTAAGCCTGCTTAATTCAACTAGACAACGACCGGTCGTACTGGAAGTCTATGGGGGAGGCCTATGTCCAACAGTGGACACTGAACGGCTGATTCGTAAGCCTGCTAAATGCAGTACTTAAACTTGAAACACTTTTGTTTTCACTGTTTATTAATTTTATTTTAAATTGCTTTATTATTTATAAACACACACCTCAGAAAATACATATTAACGAGGAAAAATCTTACGTACTAACTTTTAATATTATTTTCATAGATTATTTTTGAATTATTATAGGAGAGTATAAAATACAGTGCGTTGTTATGTCTCACTTCGTACTTCTTTGCGGAAATTTTATCACAGTTGGATGGTAAATTTATCGATTGGTTAGCCCTTATCGTTAAACATAGTAATGGATAATAGGATTCATTAAAAGTTTTATTTTCGTTCCACCAGTTAGCAATGAAATATTACATCCGGCTCCAATCATTCCAACGTAAGAAAAGCAATGTCGTAATAACTATAATTACATACACAGTAATGTTATGGAGGAAAGTTTGCATTGACGTACGCGCAACTACAAAAGTTGGGCGGGCGGCAGTCAGCCTGTTGATACCGATCAGGGAACTCGTTCCATAAGTTTTGTCCAGGAGTTCTGTGACCTTACAAAATGCCTGTAAGAGCTTTGTTTTTTGTGCGTCAAACTTTTTAATAGATCAAAAACTTAAATCATTCATATTTATATAAATCACAGTTGCTTATTTTTTCCTTATTTGTTTAATACTGTCTAGTTATTTAAAATTTCTCGTAACTAGTTTTTCTATATATTTTTTTGTTATTTCTGTCTTCTTTCGATGTTATGAGTATATCGTGTGTTGTTTTTCCGTTTAATCATTGTTAAGTCTCATTAAACTTCATTCTTTTCTCAGATTTTGTGTAATCAGTTAACAGATAATATAGCATAGGTATAGGTGTCCACAAAATTGCGTTTATAATTTCATTTGCAATATGATGTTTATATAATAATAATAACGTTGAGCAACCCAATAAATCCAAGTTGATATATAGCACAGCTGCCACATCAAGTCCAGACATCCATCCAACCGATAAGAAACGTATGTTTTCGCAACAGAATGTTATTTTCAGAGATGATTCTGGAATTCGCTCGTTTACCAAACAACTTGGCACTGGAGCGAATGTTTTATGGCCTGTGTTCAAAACTGTTTTATTACGTTTTAAAACATTACAGGCCAGAAACAAGGAGCAAGAACAAGAAGTCCTCAACTGGATATCTGCTGTCATTGGGGAACCTTTACCAAATGGCGCATATGAGGACATCCTGAGGGATGGTATCATCCTTTGTAAACTCGCTAATAAACTCTCCCCAGGATCCGTGAAGAAGATCCAGGAAAAGGGAACTAACTTCCAGCTTATGGAGAATATCCAACGGTACTTCATATTATCTAGGAAACTCTTTTAAATTTATAACAGGACAATTAGGCAATTAGGTTTTATCTATTTTTAGGTTCCAAGCTGCTATCAAGAAATATGGAGTACCGGAGGAGGAAATCTTCCAAACCGCTGATTTGTTTGAGAGGCGTAACATTCCACAGGTCACATTGTGCCTTTATGCCTTAGGAAGAATCGTAAGTATTTTAGGTCATTTCAAAAAGAAACTTACAGATAATTTGTTCTAATTTGTGGAAGTGGTAAATTCTGTTTTATTACGCGGACCTGGAACACCTTTTGTAACTCTTCCTACAGGTAATTGTTGGAATTATCTTCCAGACACAAAAGCACCCAGAATGGACCGGCCCTCAGCTAGGCCCCAAAATGGCTGATAAGAATGAGCGTACCTTCACAGAGGAGCAACTCAGAGCCCACAATGCTGAGCTCAACCTTCAAATGGGTTTCAACAAAGGTGCTTCTCAAGCTGGTCTCGGATCTTTTGGCAACACCCGCCATATGTAAACATTGCCGCGGACGTTTGAAAATTATCAGTATTTTTAAAATCTTTAGCCGTTCAATTTGTATATGTCTATCAACAACTATGAAGACGGACGGTTTTAGTTTGGCTTATGAACGCGAATGTTTATCAACGCTTGTGAACTAGGTCTTTTTTAAACACGATTTTTTTATGAAATAGATTTTAAAACTTAACAAAGTACTATGTTCATAAGACTTTTATAATTTAACTTATTTTGTAAATATTTTTACATTATTTTATTAATAAATTATTTAAGAATTATTTCGTTATTTTAATGGTTTTTATGGTAGCATGGTGGTCACTTTATGGAAGATGATACCACAGCCCAGTTATTCGGAAATCAACAGGCAGAAACCGAAAAGCGATTAAACTTCGTGGCTTTTTAAATCGTGGACCTGAACGGAATTTCACCATTCCTTCCACATATTTAATATTTAGATTTTTGACTAGGTCAAAAAAATATAAATTGATTGGAACCATGTTGGCCCCAGTGGATAGTGTTACCAATTAGGACCAATGAATCCATCAGAGTTTTTGAAGCGTTAAATAAATCCGCAAAGTAAATAAACATGAACTTTGCTCAATGTTGTGAGAGCGTCGGTCCTAAAATAAAACTGACGATTAGTGTTCATCCAAGTGATGCCAAATAATAAATTATTAATTTCAGAGTGCTTTAATAACGCCCCTTGGCCTTATTAAAATCTGTTATGCGTTCAAGATTATACGGAAATAGATCTTACGTAGTCATTGTGGGTATATTTTAATGAAATTTTCCTAATAGTGAAATTACGGTACCCCTTGCGGAGAATGGGGCGCACACATCTGTGTCCGTTTCATTGATCACACTTCTGTGCCCTACCCGACTGAAACAATCTATTGTTTTTCAAGGAATTGGCGGTCGTTTTTGATATGTTAAATTCGTGAAATAAAATCAGATAGATATGTAAAAAATGGTACCTACAAGTTCATTTTTTAAAAAATTTTATTATTGTAAATTTTATTTCTTGAAACTAAAGTAGGTTCTTGTAGAGGAATAAAATATAAGTGAATCGATATACTGGAGGTTCAACTAAATAATTTTGGTAATTGTCTCAAGGAAAAAGTGAATTTTTTTTATAATTATATAATATTTATTATAGGTTGATTATTACTTTTATTCTATAGAAACCACGAACTTATCTAGGAATATTTTTCTGACTGAAAAAGTTGCGATCATAAAAGTCAACGCGATAGTTTTTATTATTTGTGGCAACTGGTGACAAAAATAATGTAATTATTGTTGACATTTACGACCATAACATTATTATGTAACAGCGTGTAGTAAGTATGTGATAGTTTGCCAAATGTTTGCGGTTTGTAAAGAGCTTTAATATTTGTGGATTTAAGTATCCAACATATATTTATTGGTTATATATAAAATTCTAGTGTCACGGTGTTCGAACTTGAACTCCTCCGAAACGGCTCGGCCGATTTTGATAAAATCTTTTGTGCTTATCCGGTATTTATGAGAATCGGCCAACATCTATTTTTCATCCCCCTAAATGTTAGGGGTAGTCCACCCCTAAACTTTTTTATTTATTTTTTAGACAAAATTTTTTATTTCTATTTTTTTATGATACAACATACAAAAATACATACCATGCTCAATTTTCCCCCTTATACGATCAACCCTTATTTTTTAATAGCCATTTTAGTAATTTAATCATTTTTCCTCTCCGCAAAACAACGTTTGCCAGGTCAGCTAGTACTAATATATAAAGCTGAAGAATTTGTTTGTTTGAACTTTTGCTCTAAGTTTGCTCAGGAACTACGGGTTCGAATTGACAAAATTTTGTGGTGGTTAAGCATTTATCGAGAAAGGCTATAAAACATCGTCTTGTGACTAATACAAGCGAAGATATGGCGAGAAATGTGAAAAATATTGGGAAAATTATTAAGATACCCAAAAAATTATGAAAGAATGATCCCTGTTTAAATGATCTAAAAAAAATTCAGCGTCGCATTATGTGTGTCTATCTTTTAAGATTAACATGCAAGAACGAAGGGAAAGGGACGAGGCCGATGTCGTAGATAACAGCTAAAGTTTAAAAAGGAAAACCGTTAGGATGGCCAAAATAAAAATTCTTAGCGACGAAGTCGCTGGCACAGCGTGTGTTTAATTTGGGCTTTAATTTATACCTGACCTATATTCTGTTGGCAATTCTGATTTCCAAAGTAACTAATTACTAAAGTCCATATATTTTCTAGACTCTTGCTCTTGACTCTTCTATTTTCTTGCTACAACGAGACAAAATACAGGGAAAACTGAGAGAGTTACATACTGTCTATAGTTTACGCGAGTAAGGTACACATTTCAATAAAACACTTTAACGGTTTAAAACGCGATATACTAGAACTTATTTAAAAATGATTTTTACCTTCGGCCCGACGTTTCGGATGCTTTGCAGCAGCCGTGGTCACGGGGAGACCGAAGTTAAAAATCATTTTCAAATAAGTTTAACTAATATATCGCGTTTTAAACCGTTAAAGTGTTTTATTTAAATAGATAGCCTGTAACCAACTTCATACTTTCCGTAATGATTAATGAAACTTCAGAAGACAAAACCAAAACCTTTTTGTAGAGACGAGAATATCCTGGACTAGAGGAGTTTTTTTTTTGTACCTAATTAATGAAAAGAAGATTCCTAGTTTAATTTTAAGTACTGGGTTTTAATTATAATTTCCAAATTATTACACAATTGGTCGCATGCACATCGCGCATTATATATATATATATATATATATATAGTGCCCAAAACTAATTAATAAAGCTTGTTATAACAGCCAATTTTAAACATTTTAGTAACAGGCGAGCAGAAACCGCGAGTGGTCGTCAGAAATCGGCTTGTTCCAGAAAAAGAGGTTACACACTCGCGTGGGCCATGTACCCACGTATTTACTTTGGCTGCGCGCCAAGAAGCGTAGGTACTGAAATGTACTGGTTTCTCGTCAAACATGACACACCTTGACATTAGGTTTGTTAGATTATTACTTTCATATGTTAGTGATGAAAATGGTCGCTTTATTTGATATTACACCTAATTAACGCTCGTCATTTACGACTACATCAGGTACCACAAATGTTATTGGAGATTTCTTGTTGATGTATAATAACAAACTTTGGTATGAAATAAATATGATGTAATTAATTGTAAAAGACGTACAAATATATGTGATAGACGAAGAAATAAGGACATTAAAAGGATAACTACATACTGTCTATACTCTATAGTTTACGCGAGTAGTACACATTTGAATAAAACACTTTAACGGTTTAAAACGCGATATATTACTTAAACTGATTTGAATATCAATAGGGAGGTCGGCCTCAAACTATCAAACACCTGGGATCTCATATTAAAAACTCTGGATCCCAATAAACAGCATACTGGCAAACGCGAAGACACCGTTAGTAAATTCTGCAAGGACCTGGCCAGTTTTGCCTAATACCAACTTCGACGGAAGAGATGGCGCTAGCGTAGCAATTTTTACTTTGACGTCAGAGACATCCTCCATCTTTAGTCTCCCCGTGACCACGGCTGCTGCAAAGCATCCGAAACGTCGGGCCGAAGTTAAAAATCTTTATTAAATCAGTTTAACTAAATCGCAAACCAAGAAAGTGTTTTATTTAATGGATAACTACAGTAAATAATATTATGAAAGACCTTATCTTAGACATTGTTGTAATTTTTGTGATTTCAAAAAAAAACAAATCTCAGCATTTCTTTGTCTTCAACAGCAAATTGCAGCAGAGATAGTAAAATATACCGGCTTTTAATTCAATAAATTAGCTTTGCTCTGCGCAATTAACGAACCATTCATTCAGGTTCAGGTGAATAACTTACTGTTTGAGTTAACTGGCTGTTAATGTATTGTTGCGCGATTTGCATCTCTGTCCTTTACCCTTTGAAGTTGTGTAAGAGACGCGACAGCATTCTCCGCTCAAGGCCGTTCTTGCGCTTACACAAACCCTGCCGGTCTACATACCCTCTCTAGTGGAAATAACCCACGTTCTTAATGGCACAGCTACTAATAAGGATGTTGTTTTGGAGTATAGAAAGCTTTTGAATACTTTTGGATTGAATGGATTCAATGAATTCGATTGTGACGTGTACACACAGTAGCTCAATTAGTAGCACGGATTGTTGTGGTCACAGCTTTGGAACATTTATAGCCATAATGTAATAAAAGTTAAAGATAAGCATTATGCTCAGCGATAGGAGTGATGTACCCAATTAAAATATTGATAATCCAATACATGTATTGTAATCCAATCCACATCTTGATATATCTATAAATCCATTTTCCAACTGCAGTTTCCTTAGGACTTCCATATAGTATATAAGGTATACTTAACTGTCTCCTAAATATTTAAAAAAGTTACTAATCGTAGATCATGTCCAGGCCCAAATAATGTCCATTTAGAAAAAACAATTAATTGATATAGAATCATGTTGTATACGGTAAGAATTGAATCCATGACCCGTTAGCATTAGCTAGAGTTTTCTACAAATGGACTAAAGATTGATGTCGCTTAGCAACACTTATAGTGATAGTTCGATATCGTCTTCAGTAAATTGTCGAAAACGGTAACAAACGCAAAATTCTCGTATATCAAGTAGGACTGGTTCATCTGAATCGTGCAATCGCAACGCAAACCCACAAACCGTACTAAATTGTAACGTTCGTTCCGTATCATCAATTCCTTGAACAGGGGCGTATGTCGCAAAACGTTACATTTCATATTAGAACACATATTGTGTATCCTTGTGCTTATTCGAATCGCGTTACCGTTTTTCATAATATGACCTTGATTTTACAGTTATGCTTTTCAGCCTTTCTTTGGACACTTAATTTTACATCCACAAATGAAATCGTAACACTTGTTTCTACCACACTTTAAATGACATTTGAGATGAGACCTACCGCCGGTACTCTACTATTTTTTTAATTTACTAAGCAAATGTAAAATATATACCTATCTGGTTAATGAAGAAGCATAAGGACGTTTATAATTATATAGTGATCCTTGAATACTATGTACATTTTGTTTATTTTGACTAAACGAGGACTAAGGTTCGTGGAACCATCAGTTTGGCACCAACCAGTTACACCACAAACCAGCTGCGGTACAGTAAAGTGTAAATTCGCGTTCTAGTTCATGGAATTTCAAATGTCTCCTAAATTATTAGATAAAACAGACCTAGAGCAATTTACCTTTCATCAAGTGAATTCCAAAGTTGCCATAAATAGAATTTATAGTCATTTTCAAACAATGTTTTCAATAAAATTCACATACAAAAACCATTGTTTACATTATCAGACGTGCTATATTAAAGCAACCGTGAAATGTCTGGTAAAGAGGACAAAGTTTAAATTTTGTTGACGAACTCGAATTGCATACCCCCCTCCTATGCCGTTGCAACAAGTACAAGACGGGGACCTAGTCTCGAGCCACCTCGGGCAGCGAGCTCGAGGTTTACTAACACACCAGTTCTTTGACAACCGACAATGCTGTTACTATTCCTCGTTACAGTGTTGATACACCATTCGAGCGCGGAACACTATAAAACGAAACGTAAGTAACCCATTTGACAGTTTCATTTATAGAATCCATAAAAACGTCGATTACGACACAGTTTGTTTACCCAGAACCGTTCAAGTGATTGTGATGTAACTTGGCGACAGTATTTTAACCTACTTACTCAGGTATCTAACTTTTCCAGCGAGCTTCGTGAAAACATGTTCCCTAAGTGATCCGGACTTCGACGACTGTTCCCAAGAGGCCGTGCAGTTGCTGTTCAACGCACTAGGACCGGGTAAGTCTTAAATGTTTTTTTTTTATATAGAGGACGAACAAGCATACGGTTTACTTTATGGGAAGTGAAATACCGCCATATAACATCTTAAGAAGATGTGCTGTCGATCTATTTTGGCTTTGGATATTCCAATTATTTTTAATAACTAATCTCTATATTCAATGTAATCGAAGTACCAGCAATTTACACAAGTCGCATGCATGCGATTATGGATTTCAACCTCCTTGCATGTTCTGGGTGCCTATTATTCTTTTATTTAAACAAATGTATTTATTTTTTATAAAAAAACCTACTGCGTTTTTTTAACATTTCGCTGAGGTACATGAAAAAAAAATTCTAATACTTTCTAATACTTTGCGTGGTTTTAATTAACACGCAAGCAAAGTGAAATTATTCAATAAACATTTTAAATTTATTTTAATTATTTCTGAAATTTTCTTTACAAGCATAAGTAGAAATAATAAATAAAATCCAGTAAATACTTACTTATCTATGACAGCAATGCGATTACGGACTAGGTACATAACCTCAATTATGAAACTAGTATAACTCGCGGAAAGCGAAAGTACTTTATTCCTTCGATATTTTCGCTTAGAGGATTTTATTGGAAAAATATTTATAGGAAAAATAAAGTCGTATTAAAGACAATTTCTCAAGTCATATAATTATATTTTAGATATTTACAGCTCGTGTGAGTAGGGACTAAATAGTTATTTCATTCCAGGACTTCCAGAGATAGACCTACCTCCATTGGACCCCTTGAAAATTCCCAAAATAAGGATTCTACAAGGAGAAGGTCCAGTCAACGTAAATGCCGCACTCGACGACGTTACTGTAACCGGTTTCGGTAAAACTGACGTGTTGCTCAGCCAGTGAGTTGTTTGAGTTTATGTGTTCCTGGTAATATTAGCAACAATTTGATCGACTGACCCAACTTTTGTTTACCGACGGATCGATCGATTTGATGTGGCTGTTACATTGTTTTTAACGAGTTTTTTTTTCAGGGTGGACAGCAAAACTTATGATTTCTACACACGGGTGCGAGTGCCGAAAATAAGAATCGAAGGCACGTATGATTTGAAAGGAAAAATCCTGTTAATTCCTTTAGTAGGACGCGGCAAATGCTGGTTTGAGCCAAGTTAGTTACTATTTCACATCGAACAGTTTATTTTTATCAATTAATTAATTTGCATTACATTCAACGATTTCCTTTTCAGGCAATATGACGATAGATATTGTGAGTGACGTAAAATTGTACGAAAAGGATGGTTTTCCTTTCTTTAATGTGACACAAGTTCATGTAAAATATAACATCGGGATTCTAAAACTCTACATGCACAATTTATTTGATGGTATATCCTCACTCGGTAAGATTATTTAAAATAAAATAATTATTTTTGATCGACAAGTACAAACTACATTTCGTTATTCATTTTTTGAGTACAGCGCCATCTATGATACTGCTTGAAAATTCTTTTCCAAGTCTTATACTTTTGTTAGTTATTCTATCCGCCCATAGCTGGCAGCAAAATCATTTACAACTCTTTTCATACCTATGCTCCTGGTACTAGTATGTTACAAATTGCAACGTTTGAGAGCAATCTCTTTCCCCGAAATTAGTTTGCAAAATTTTCGAACGTTCCTTTGAGATTTAGGATTTGTTTATTATTGAATAAATAAAACGTGTTTTATTTTAAAATTTTAAATCGATACTGTGTTGTTTACATGAATGTTGATTAAATAAATATTTTTTTTATTTCAGAGGAGAGCACAAATGCCTATTTAAACGCGAATTGGCGACCAGTATCTGAATCGTTACGACCGATTCTATCCAAAACAATTGAAGATATTTTACTCGGCTTCATGCAACAGATCTTTCATAATTTACCAGCCACCTTTATGATAGAAGACGTCAAAAATAATCACTTATTCAGCAAACGCAATGACAAAGTATAAAAACGACAATAAAAAAAACTGATTAATACTATGTATGTAAGTTAATATTGCTTTAATCTTTATCACATTGATAAGAAGCTCCTGTTGACAGTTACCATGAAAATAATTATAATCTCGATAACAATTTAGAAAGTATTTATTAAGTAAGATAATATAAGAATGTTGTAAATAGTAGTTAGCTTTAATGAAAGTAATAATAAAGAAAATATTTCGAGTCTTGAGTTGGATTTCATTGATTTTACGACTTACACGTGCTGTTTATATACCTGAAGCTTTCAGGTAAACATGTCAAGGCCAGCATTAGTCATTAGTAGCGTGTTTTCTCCTAAAATATACATCTGTACATTAAACATTTATTTAAAAAGTTCACTGTGATAAAATTTCTTAAAGAAAATAACTATTAAACTAAACAAACATGTTTAATTGCAGTTGGTTTAGTTATTTCATCCCTCGCCTGCTAAATATAATTATAGAAACAAAATATGAAACAAAAAAAATATAAAATTTACCTATTATGGAATTCAGAAAAACAAATAAATTAAAGGACATAATATTTACCTGCCAAATAGGACGACCAGGCATTTTAAATCACTTTAAAGATCACACACTTGAAAACACTCGCGCGTTTGGCACGTCAAACACTAGATGGCTCTCTTGCAAAAGTGAAGAGCTAAATAAGCTCCACTGACTCACATAACCTGTTTTATACGAGCCACAAAACTCTGTCTATATGAATAAACGTGAAAACGGACATTACGCAGAAGCTCAACGTTACCAAAAATATCTCCTTACGTAGCGTTAAACAACTTTACAAGATAATCTGTAGCTAATTATTTAGCTACGTTAAAAATCTGGATTCTATAAAAGATATTTAATAAAAGCTCTATCTAAAATTTTCTGTATCAATCAGAACCTACACATGTTAACAACAGAATGTTTTTTATCAGTTTAAATTTATTTAAGAATTAGCACGAGGTCAGATGTTAAGATTGAAATAAAAATTCGTCAGCATGATCAATGTATAAACAAAGATATTTTATGTTGCTTTCTTTTCAACTCTATATAGCATTTGTATTCAGCCTATAAAAACAAATTGTTCGTTTCGTATCCTATTTTTCATTAAAAGTTATTTTTATAGTAATTATACAACAAATGGTTTCAACTTTCAACAGAATGCTCGGCGTATAATGCGTCATCAATAACCGGACGCCATTACCGAGTTTGTATCGAAATGCAGTTTTGTATGCAGATAATTGCATCGCACCGCTCCTTCATTGTCTGTGATCCTTGTCCAACAAGTTCCTGGTAAGGCAGACATTAAGATGAAGGAGACGATTCTTCTTCATTCTTATTTTATTTAAGTCACTATTTGTAATTCACTAATAACTATAAACTATAAATTACGTTTACAAATCCTTTCAGAATTTTAAAAGCTTGTCAATTGTCCTGTTTTTTTGTTTTTTTGGGTGTAACTAAGGAGTATCTTTAATATATATCATAACAAATTCTTTAAAATATTTTACCTTAAAAAAAGTAACGATTTTTATTTACATATTGATAAAATAGGCCATCTTCAAAAGCAAATTTCTCTTGCACTAAGTATGAAGTCATGTTATATATAATATAACTCTAAAAAATTAAGATCAAAGATGTGTTATAATAACACTCGAGCGATGACCCAGAGAAGGGTGCTCCAAAGGGGATAGGGCCCCTTTGGTGTCATTCACAAAAGGAACATCAACTAGGTTCGTATAAATGAAAAGAGATCGTGGTGCATACATGCACTTTGCACCGAAACTGCGTGACGTCACCCGGTTCGCATTGCATTGTTTGATATTGCACTTTTCAAGTATGTGTCATTCGATTTGTTTTGCTCATGATTAAAACACGTTTCGTACAATATCGACAATAAGGTTTGTTTTACTAAAACGTATATACTTATTTAATAACACAAACGTTTGAAAACTTTACTATTTCTCACGTTTATTGCACACGATGGCATTATAAAAATTAAAAATGTATTATAATTTGCCAGGGTAGCTCGATTGGTTAGAGCAACTGCACACAACGCTGATAATACCGGTTCAAGCCCTGCTTGTGTCGTATATTTTTCTCAATTTATAAGCGATTTAAAATTAAAAGAAACTTTGTCGACTACTCCATTAAAAATGGAAATATCAGCTACCTATTTGTTCATTCTTTTGTCCTCATTTTAGTATCTTTTCTGCTTTATTTATTAGCTTTTATAGTTTAGTACTTCTGTATAGAATTATTCTGAATTGAAACCGCAGTTTTGACGTTCATCAAAATGTATATTACATAAAACTATTCTATATGATAAAAGTGTACAAGTATTTCATCTCTTTTTTATTGTTTTTCGTTGAATCTATTTTAGTTGCAACATCGTGACTCACAGCTATGTAGAGCACGTGTACAGTAACGGCCGTTATAGCGGATTCCGTTATTAAAAATAAGCTTACATTTTTCACGGTACCGCCTACAGAAAGTCTGGAAATAATTTAACGAGTGGCACCAGGGCTGGAACAAGTAAATACTAGATACTTAAACAAATATATACAATGTTATATGTAACAAGATACCTATCTGATGCAACCTAACGAACTTAACATAATCGTTTAGTTAGTTAGTTATTAATAAAAAAAATGTATGTCAACCTTTTTCGATTGAAAGTGGTTAAGATTAATTATAAACATTAGTAAATGTGTCTCCAGAAAGTTCTGTAGCCATCAACCTCGTTTGGAATGTACTTGACGTCTCAGTTCAAGACTGTTACAGGAATAACTCTGTGAATGTTAGGCTTAAAATAGAATCGATATAGATATCGACACCTATGTGAAAAGAAAATATTTTTAATAATATAACTACTAATGCCTTTTCGTAATAAAAGTTAAAGTTTTGTTTGGTTTTTTTGTTATATTTCTTAATACCTTTTAATATACTAGTCAATACAAAATAACGTTACAATCCTTACTTTTAGTATCCTAAATTTTTAGTTTAGTAAAATGTACAATTAAAAATTCTAATCCTTCTTAATAAGAATATCAATGATAATGGAAAATGGCATTATTTATTTACTATGATATTTTAATATAATTTATCAGTCAAAAAGCCTCCTTTTACTTTACCAACCCACAGAAACAAACTAATTTTTTGTGGATTTTAAACATTGTTAGCGCTGGCGGAACGCTTGGAACGTCAGCGGAGAATCTGGAGCAGGCAGTTACGGTTGCTTTTCACCAGGGTAACATCGCTAACGTGGAGCTTCATTTGTAACTTTTAAGTAGCGTTATCTATTGGGCAATAGAGAAACAAATGGTTAAAAAGAATTAACTTCATGTTTTGGCAATTGGACTCTAGATGGCGCGGTTACCAAATTATTTAAAATGTACACTTTTAGATCGCGTGCGGCGAGTGAGAATTACTGAGCTCCTGAAAGGTCATGTCGTGCTGGTATGCAGCGATCGTAACTGCCTGCTCCAGATTCTCCGCTCACTGAGTGCCCGCGTTCCAAGCGTTCGTTTTAAGAATTAATTATCCTATTCCGTTTTGGGTTCCTTTATCAAAAGTATTCAACTAAACGTACAAAAATTACGTTGTAACATAACAAACAATATTATTGTTATGTGTTCAGTATTGATCAAATCATTGTGAACTAATAATAATTACAGAAATATTTACTAAGATCGTCGCTAGAGACTTTGAAAATAAAATTGTCTAAGACTAAGAAGAAGAAGTATTTTATTTATATATTAATAAAATTACACTTAAATTTAATAAAATAAAATAAATAATAACACTATTTCACATTCATCCATTCTACGTTGCTTAAAGCCCACCACAATCCTACTTATTAATTTCAATTACATAAAAACAATATTGTACGCTTATAAACATTTTCGTGAGCATAATAAATGAGCATCATACAAGACTGACTAGCCATTTCACATAACATATTATTGCTTTTAACACGTATTCAATCGTAAGTATATTTACAATAAATTATATATACGCTTAGTCGTAAACCGTATTTGTCTTTGTAGGATGATAAGTTTAATTATTATGTCCAATTGTGATTATTTTTTGTTTATTGTGATTTAGAAAAGTAGCTAGATTTAGCTACTTTTCTAAATCATTATTTATTTTTACTTTATTTTATGCATCTCGCATTTCGGTAAAGTCGGTAATAAAATGCAAAATTATACACTAAACCAAAACATATACAAGAAAAATTTTTTCATCCTATATAAGACAAGTAATGTTGAATCTAAAGCCTATTTTTATTCACAAAGTTTGATAAATAACACCATATTGCACTTTGTGTATAACATTTCCTGTCTATTTACACACAATCGTAGAATTTGATTAAACCAACCCGTCATATGGATCATTGAATTCCTGTTCCGAGTCGTCACCTTCAGATGTTTCCTTTTGGTTCGAAATTTCTTTTCGAGCCAACAATCGGTCGCAATCGTTCAGTCGACCGAGTAGCACTTCGTACACACGGGTCATTGAGACAACCTTTTCCTTGCACGAGGGGTCTCTTTCAAGCGCGAAGAGTCGCGAGTCAAGTAACTTGATAGCTGCCACGATATAGTTCCTCAACGTTTTCGTTTTGTGTTCACTGCTTATGTTCTCTAGGAACGCACAGACTTGCCTCTCTCCGCACAGAAGGACGTCCACGTCATACGCTAATGGCGAGTGTTGTCTGTGTAGAAACGTGATCAGTCGCTTCGCATATCGTCTGTAGGTTCTGTAAATCTTACGTTTCCGTGTACCGAGAGTTCTGCCCATTGACATCGACTTCTTCATGTCGTCGATGACAGCTTTGTAACCTGCATCCACTTTGGAGTCGAAGATATCTCGCAGGCGGGTTTCAACTGGTTGAAGTTCGTAAGGAGATGGCGATGGGGGTAACGATGGCGACGATGGTGGAGGGGAGAGGGGTAATGAATTGCGTGCACTATCTTCTCCTTCACTGGATTCGCTGGATACGCGGCTTTCAACAGAACTGGTTTCCGGTACAGTGTAAGGTCTTGCTCGAGCTCTAGTTCTTTGCACGCGGGCTGGTCTCGGCGCTGTTCTGGCGTTGTACGCGGTCAAAACATTCGCGTCTTGTTCTGTTAGTGGGCGGCTGCGCTGTGTCGCTGCCAATGGTATTATCCGAATCTTAACGAGAGCATAGCTTTGGTGTATTTTCGCTCGGATGCGTGGATCGTCGTAATCAGAGCCCCAAAGGTCTCTGATGGCTGATTCTTTTAGATATCGCACTTGACAGAGTTCTCCATTGAAGAATCGTTTTCTCTGTTGCTCGTTGAGGGCGTCTCGTTCAGCGCCAGTCAGACCGTGGATTTTAGTTAGGTGATCCGGGAGTTTTCCATAAGTGAATCTTGCGCAGTCTTCTATAGGGCACGGAATGTTAGCGTGATTTTGTTTCTTCGTACGGGGACCGGTTGTATTTGGTCGTGCACTCATTTTTAGTGGTTCTGTAATTAAAAATATAGATGTTAGCTCATATATAAATGGGAGTGTTTAATTTTTTTTTTATAATTTGGCATTAAACAATATTCATTCCTGAAAAAAAAATATTATAATTTAAATAATACTTATAGGCATGGGGCGAACACATTTTTGTGATTAGACTTCAGTGCCCTGCCCAGAACATTTTATGGTTTCCCGGAAATCAAACCCAGGACCTCTCGCGCTTAATGCAATGCAAAACGTTTAACTATTTAGCTGAGAGGCGGTCTTGCATTATGTTAGTAAACGTCTATAAATGGCAGCGACTTAATTTATTTAGAGTATGTTTATCAATAAGGGTGGCTGTCCGAGGATAATAATTGTGTTGACGCAGCCCGACGGCTATCGAGGCCGGCCTCCGTCCGCTTAATTTATTGAAAACAATTGACCCATTCAGTTATCTCAAGGAAAATACCGAGACGGTACTAGAAAAGTTAACTATAGAACATTACTGACAATTTTACTTCGTATAAAAATCATAATAATCAAATGTGTCTTTGTGGTGGGGGTAGAGGGAGTAAGAGTAATAGAGTAAAAGTAAAAAGGCAAAACCCCAGCTATATAACAGTAAACAAGATGCGCAGCCGGCCTATATTGCTTTTAGATATTTGGAAATGTACAGACTAAAACCGAACGCGATTAAACCTCATGTTGTTTTCTTCTGTGGACGGTGATCGTGGATATTCAACGTGAAAAGATTTCCAGACGAAGTTCAATATATAAAAAAAAAATTTAAACCGGTGGGGATCGAACTCTAGACCTCATTGATTACTTACAACCGGCCCATCGAAATAATGTAGCCATTATTCTTGTCAATTTAATTACACGCAATAATCAAATCAAACGCCCACCCGACGCTCTTTACTCTCGTAAAAAACATCGAACCGTAGTTTAAAAAATGTAAACTAAATATTATGTGTTTTTAAAGTGCTTTATTAAACCTAAGATTAGATATGTATGACGGTTCACATAAACTTGTATGAGTTTACACACTTTCGTTTGATAGTAAGAATGGATGTAGGGATGTATTAATTTAAAAAGCATTTTTCCAGAAACAACAAACAAACAAAGAATACTTCTTCTTTTTTACTTCTTCTTCTTCTACTTCTTATTTCTTCTATTCGAGAGATCTAAATTATACATTTTATTATCTAATTAAATAAGAACGCAACCCCCGATTCGTTAATATGAATACTTCCATACAGATATTTTTGGTAGCGACTTAAATTATTATTATTTGAAACGGGCGCGTTCTAATAACTTAGTCGAGATGAAACAACAATGACTGTAATATTAGGGACCATTCGTAGCGGTTTGATTGAGCTAATATTTATATTTGAAATTAGCTTGTGCCGTCTTGGACCAGGCCACTCGCCGCAAAATTATAAATAATCTAAATTAAACGTTCCTCTGGGGAGAGCTCCCAATGTCTTGCTATTGTTTAATATTCTTCAATTAATAATTTTGATTAGCTCTGCCTACGGCCGACGGAAAACACTTTAAAATTTTGTAATTAGAACCGATAAATTTTCGATTAAAATGTGTTTTTATTCATAAAATAAATTAATGTAAAAAAAAATCTGAAAACACTGAAGTAACACAAATTTTATGACTAGCTCGTTGGTGTAATGGTAGTAATATAAAGCTAATAATCAACGGATTGTGGTTCCATAACCAATTTATAATTTTTCTGAAATTAGTCAGACTTCGTGTGAAAATCTGGATATTAAGGAGTAGGTAGGATTATCGAAAGTCCACAGATGAAAAGGCTGTTAAGTTTATTCGCGTTTCGATTTCTGGCAGTGGAAGTACCGAATACCCAAAACCAAAATATGCAACATAAAAACATAAAAAAATCTATTGAATCCCATGCTTGTGTGTCCTCCATCGTAAGAAAACTGTAATCCGCAGTCCAGTGCGGTAAGCACTGAGCTAGGGAGTCGAGAACTGAAATTAGTTAAACCGAAATTGCTCATCATGTAACATGACACAAACGTCAGAGGATCCGTGTCAGAAAGTTTCATAAAGAGACCCCTTCTAAGACGAAGTGCGACTTGAATAAATAACTAATTTGCATATTTAATACAGGTATCGCGCTGAGATTCAATTGTTTCAATCTGTGAATTATTAAACCGCGGCGTTAGCTTATTACCCCCTGGATATAATCAAATATTCAGATCAGCTTTTCTTTAATTAGTCGTGTTTTACAATTCATATTACGGTTCTTGGATTTTAAACTTCATTTTTAAGATGATAATGTGATTCAAAATATCATTTTCTTTTTTGTTTCTTTCATAAATAAGACGGTAGGCCATCGGGTCATTTTGTAACAATAACTAGTTGACCTGGCAAACGTTATTTTGCCATTAAAGTTATTTTGGGTATAATATTACTTATTTTTTCCAAATTCCCCCTTAGGTTTAAATAAAACTTTAATTACGCGTTATTTTGTAAACTTATTTGAAAATATTCTTCGGCCCGACTTTCATTTGCAGCAGCCGTGGTCACGGGGAAAATAAAGGTGGGGGATTTTTTAAAAAACAAAATAAAAAATGCGCTGCGCCATCTGTTCCGTCGAAGTTGGTATTTGGCGAAACTGGCGGGGTTTTTACAGAATTTGCTTAAGGTTTTTTTGTTTTTCTCCTTAGGTTTACAAATTATAGGCGCTATCAACGTCCAACATACAGCGGGAAATGTGATAAACGACGTTTTGGATTTTTTTTAGGTATTTGGTTTTTTTGACTGTTTTGCACCGCACGCAATGAAAGCCGTCAAAGATGAATAATTTTCCCTGCTTCTTCAACACAGCAATGTTTCACAGTCAAGACAGTTAGGGCACAGCGGCTCATACACTTTTATTAAAATATATTACATCATTTTTTTAGATAACCATTAAACATACTTTAACTACGCCCCCACGTTTTGGCTGCTGTAAAGCCTAATTATAAATTGTAAACAAGTTAACAAATTTAAAAATGTACATCTCCTGAAACTATAAATAACACTTACATATTATGCCTCATAGTGACTGTATGACACGTATAGCTCTATAATCCTAATGTTTTAAAATTTGTTTATTTCTACATGACATGACAATTTAAAACTAATGTTATATATTACTTAGTTCAAAAACTTAAATATATCCTTTGTTTGTAACTACCCCTAAAAATATAAATCAGCTATAAGTTTTCTTCTTAAATATAAAACACAGCCTTAGAGCTTTATCTTATCAGGGTAGCGAGAATATATTTCAAAGGTGCATGGAAGTGCAGGAGATGGGGAGAGAGGGGTTATCCCGGACACCCGTAAACAGTAAACAAAGGGGAGACGTAAACAAGGGTGCAAGGGTGCTACGATACAATAAACAATTAGTTTAATCGATACGTGTACTTCACAAGTTTTATCGCACTGAAATGTTAGACATATTTTTGAGCTTAAGAAGTTTTGAAATATCATGATGAACTAAAATATAATTATTTCTTAAGATTATCATAAAAACTTATAAAACAATTATAATCATCATCAGTCATCTATATCTATACATTAAGCTGAAGAGTTTGTTTGTTTGTTTCTTTATTTGAACGCGCTTATCTCAGGAACTACGGGTTCGAATTGAAAAATTGTTTTTGTGTTGGTTAGATCATTTATCGAGGAAGGCTATAGGCTATAAAACATCGCCCTGTAACTAATAAAAGCGAAGATACAGCGGAAAATGTGAAAATATTTGGGAAAATTGTTCATTATGATGGGTTTCCGAGGCATACGCTGCAAAACGGGTTCGAGATACCCAAAAAATATGTACTATTAAAGTGAAAAAAGTCCGCGACGATATATGTCTATTTTTTAACGTTAATTTGCAAGAACGTCGGAACGGCGACCGACCGGCGATCGTGGGTTTATATACGTTTATATAAGTTTTCAAAAACGAATTTGGATGCCAAAATAAATATTCTTAGCAGACGAAGTTGCTGCAAAAGCGAGTATTTAATAATGGTAATAGTAAATTTCGAGATTATTTATTGTTTTTTATGCTTATTTCGTTCATATTTTTTATGCCGGTGGGCCACTTGTGTGAAGTCACAATATCAGTGCAAACAATATTTATAATTTTCAGCAAATAGCTGAGTTTCTTTATTCCTGTCATTCTTGTATTGGTTTTTTTAATTGTTACATCATATAATTAAGAACTTTGAATCTCTATAAGGGTTGGTATTAATGATAGCTATTTGTACTATATATGTTCATATAAAATGTACGTTATGTTGTATATAAATGTTTAATACCTATTTTTATATAAGTATTAGCAATAGGTAGTACTAACATCTAATAAATAAATAAAAACTTCAAATAATAAAAATCATGTAATATGTATATACTACATATGCAATACTTGCACAAGTATGAAAAGAAATAGTAAAGATAACCTTCTTTCTATTTAGTTACCTTGTCTAATTGATAAAAAACACAGTAAATTACACAGTTCATTTCAAGTGTTAACAATTAGTATTTTATTTTTTCATTAAATTTAATTAAGATACTGGAAACACTTTTGGTTTAGTACTTCAGATTATATTATATCCTATAATTGGTTAAATCTTAACTTATTTAATTACCATTTTGAAGAACATTTACACAATTTAATAAATATTAATTTTGATGTTTAAAATCGGCGACGTGTTAAAAAGTAAGATAACATTAAGGGTAAGCAGATTAATATTTTAATTAACATTTAAAAATATTATATTACGATACTATATTTTACATCGAAGCTAATTTTTGAAAATATTAAAACAATATTAAAATTTTTAAACTCTTTTAAAACCCTATAACGTCCCGTTTAATGCATACACCTGATTAAGATTTAAATGAAATATATAAAAATGTGATAAACTCACCTCCTCTCAAAGATACTCCGCGAAGACCACGTTGTTTACGTGTATAAACACGTTGTTGTT